GCAGGGACATCTTCCACCAGCCCAGGGTGCTCAGAGCTCCATCCAACCTGGCCTTGAGCACTGCCAGGGAGGGGGCAGCCACAGCTTCTCTGGGCAACCTGTGCCAGGGCCTCACCGCCCTCATGGTGAAGAATTTCTTCCTAATATCTAATCTAATCTTTCTCTTCCAAAGTTTTTTCCCCATCCTGGCTCTAAACTCAGCATCTCAGTCCAAAACATCCCAAAAACCTTTGCAGTCTGGGAGGCTGCTGACACTGCAGGCTGCACCCATCTGGGTCTTGCTGCTCCTGGTGCTGGGCCCCCGCTTTGACCAGAGGCTGCCAGACCGGCTCTGGAGGGCTCGTCGTGGGCAACGGGGATGTCCAGCAACACTGGTGGGGCGGGCGAGGGGAGCGGGGGCAGAAGCCTGACATGGCACTGATTTCTAGCACAGAAAGAAAATGCATTTCTCAGCAGACCACGGGCAGGGCGGAAGTGGGGCTTGTGGCCAACCGCAGCCTTGCAAGAGGGAAAAAGGCGAGCAGGAAGGTGGGCAGTGCTTTTTCTCTTCCCTGCGTCGTTTGAATCAACCCAAAGCCGCACAAACCTGACTCGCCTGGGGAGGGATGGGAGAGCCCAGCCGTGCCCTGGCTGCTCTGTTAGCTTTGCCCACCAGCACATCCATTTTCCACGCGTGCTCCTGTCTTCCCTGCCTGTCTCTTGGACCAGCTTTGACTCTTCATTTCTTGCCCCGAAGATGGCCCTGCTTGATGCTACGCATCTGCAGGTGAGACCACCACGCTGCGGGGTTCAGCCAAAGCGTTGTTCCCATGTAGGGAGATGATGTTCCCGTAACGGCCCTTGAGCCCCTTGTGATTTTGGACTTGCTGTTAATTAGCTGGTTGGATTCAGGGGTTGGTGGCAGGGAGCGACGGGGTGTTTTGTGGCAGCAGAAGTGCCGTGGGTCCTGCCCCAAGTCAGGAAGTGTTAGTGGGTGTCTCACCAGCCACCTTCAGGGTGCTGCTGGGACAGGGCAGCTTTGCACCCAGCTCCCAGCTCCTGGATCCCAGCCGTGGGTGGCTCATGTCACCGAGAAGGTGGAGGCATCTCTCCGGGGACATGGAGATCACCAGGGTGGGTGGAGCTCTCCCAGGGAGGATTGATCTCTAAATTGTGAGCACGAAGAGGCGACCTGAGCCGAGCTGCTGTCTGACCCTGCTGGCCCAAGCCAAGCCGCGTGGAGGCAGGGGTCATCGCTTCGGTTTTGTCCTGGCAGGTCGACCCCGACGATGTTCTCACAAAAGAAGAGCAGATCTATCTCCTGGTGGAGGCTAAGGAGAAATGTCAGAGAGACATAAAAGCCCAACTGGAGAAGATCAAAGGTAGCGTCCCTCCCCTGCGCATGGGTCAGCCAGCCCGCTGGAGCTGGCCATGCTGTGGGAGATGCTGTCCCCTCTGATGGCAGCAGGATGGGGCCAAGGATGTGCTCAGGGTCTTGGCGCGGGTTTGCGCAGCTCCTGGCACCGTGGCTGCTCTAGGCGCAATTAGCTGCTAATGAAATCATCACCTAATTAGCCAGTGCTGGCTGCCCCATGCATACCGCAAATGAGAGCACGTAGAGGGCCTCAGCCCCCCAAGAAGAGGGTGGGATGCGATGGGACGTGTCCCCCTCCCCATCCCCCCTGCTCCGCAGACTGGGGGTGGTTGCGTGGCGCATGCCTGGGGAAGCTGGAGGCTGCGCTGTGGCCCTGTTTGGAGCCAAAGCAAGATGTGTCTTTGCGTGTTGGCCAGACACCAGCTGCCTTCCAGAGTGGGATGGGATTATCTGCTGGCCAAAGGGCTCCCCCAGCCAGGAGGTATCAGTGCCCTGCCCCGACTACATCTACGACTTCAACCATAAAGGTAAGGCTTGCACCTGGGCAGGGACCGACCTCACCTTGGTGATAATCCTCCACTGAGCAGGGACATGGGCGGGTGTCAGTGACAGGACAAGGGGCAACGGGCACAAACTGGAGCAGAGGAAGTTCCAGCTGAACACGAGGAAGAACTTCTTCCCTCTGAGGGTGACGGAGCCCTGGCCCAGGCTGCCCAGAGGGGCTGGGGAGTCTCCTTCTCTGGAGATATTCAAAACCCCCCCGGACGAGTTCCTGTGCACCCTGCTCTGGGTGACCCTGCTTTGGCAGGGGGGGTTGGACTGGATGATCCCCAGAGGTCCCTTCCAACCCCTCCCATGCTGGGATTCTGTGATTCCCACTGGTCCTGCCGCTGTCACAGCACCCACCACCCTTCCCAGGTCATGCCTACAGGTACTGCAGCGCCTACGGGACGTGGGCCATGGCTCTCAGCATCAATAAGACCTGGGCCAATTACACCGAATGTGCTCTGCTCTTCTCCTCCGAGAGCCGGAGCCATGAGAAGGTGACCTTGCTCATTGAGGCTGCTGGTGACAGGGGTTGGGATGGGGACGAGGGAAGCGGCCAGGGGAATTGCTGGGAGCCGGGGTTCCTCCCCCTTCCCCCCCCAAACAAGCCCTGCTCCCCCCTGCCATGCTCTCGGCCCAGAGGCTGGGGGAAGAAGTGGGGGGGCCTGGGCTGGAGAGAGGCCGGGCAGAGGCTGGGGGAAGAAGTGGGGGGTCCTGGGCTGTAGAGAGGCCGTGGAGCCCAGCCCTTCTCTTCCAGGAAGTGTTTGACCGCCTGCACCTGATGTACACTGTTGGCTACTCCATCTCCCTGGCCTCCCTCATCGTCGCCGTCTGCATTCTCTCGTACTTCAAGTAAGGAGGAGCTGAACCCCATCCCCGTGGCGGGGAGAACCATCTCCTCCCCATCGTCTGCACACACAAACCCCCGACGGGGAGCAGCCCCTTAGGGAACAGGAACTGTCCCCAAACCCCAGCACAAACCCCAGACCATTTCCCAAAGCCCCAAACCATCCCCAGTATGATCAGCTCCCCATCCACTCCACCCTGCTCTTGAAGGGTTGACACCCCACTTACCCCCAGACCTGGCTTCTGTGCCCTTGGGAAGGCTGACACCTTGGAGCTCACCTTCTCTGGGACCTCCCCATTGCCTGAACCCACGTGCGATGAGCTCGTTGGGCAGCTGGGACTGGGCTCGTGTCGCACCCCTTCTCTGCAGGCGCCTGCACTGCACACGCAACTACATCCACGTCCACCTCTTCACCTCCTTCATCTGCCGGGCGGTGAGCATCTTCGTGAAGGACATGGTGCTCTACTCGGGCACGCTGGCCAGCGAGACGGAGAAGATGCGGGAGGACGACTTCAAGGCGGAAATGGGTCCCTCGCCGGGACAACGGAGCCACCTGGCAAGTGGCACGCAGAGACCGGAGGCAGGATCAGGGAAAAAGGGGATTTAGGAGCTCTGGTGCAACGGGATGCGCTCGGGACCCTCTCGGATTGGGGCTGTGCTGCTCAGGGACGATGCAGTTGGGAAGGGAGGAAGGGCCACCGACAGCTCGGCCCAGCTTCCCCCCCTGGTGCCAGAGTAGAGATGAGATCTGCAGAGGACACGGGTCTCGCAGCCTGCCTGAGCTCAGAGTGCTCTGACATGGGAAATACCTCTCCCACGGGCAAGACCTAGAGCATCTGCTCTAGTTCTGATGCTGGGATATCCCAGGGCAGATGTAGCTCTGGTCCCCTGGATGCACCCGGGAGCAGCTCCGTGCAAGAGGAGAAACATGAACCATGCATGGGGCACAGCCTGGGTTTTGCTGGCCAGAAAGCAAAAGCCACTGGGTTTTGCCCTCAGGGGACAGCCCGGTACGGGCACTGCTCTGACTGCATTTCCACAGGTTGGCTGCAAGGTGGTGGTGACTCTCTTCCTCTATTTTCTGGCCACCAACCACTACTGGATCCTGGTGGAAGGTCTCTACCTGCACAGCCTGATCTTCATGGCCTTCCTCTCCAACAAGAACTACCTGTGGGTCCTCATCATCATCGGCTGGGGTAAGCGTGGAGCCCAACCCAATGCTGTGGCCGCTGAGACCAGCTGGGGCATCAGCCACGGCAGAGCAGCACTGGGTGCCCAGATAAGGGCAGTGGGATGCCAATGAGCTGCCCAGGAACTGGCTTGGTCTGCAAACATGATGCTTCATCCATGCTCCTCGCTCTGGTTCCTGCCCCGCCAGGTCTCCCGGCTGTGTTTGTGTCCGTCTGGGCCAGCGTCAGGGCCTCTCTGGCAGATACGCAGTACGTAGGTCCACCCTCTCTCATAGTCCTTGGGGGAGGGAAAGACTGGTTGCAAATGCTAGCAAAAAAAATCTGTGGTCACCAGAACTTCTGAAAATTTCCTGAAAAGAACAAGAGGCGTGAACACAGGTACAAGGCTTGTTTGTAAAACTGTCAGTAATCCAGACCAATAGCGGTTTTGTTCTGCATTTGGGAGGAAGCTGGATGCAGGTTTACACCATAAATCGATCAATAAACAGTGCAAAGACAAACGCTAAAGGGCATGTTCTGAAGTTAAGCATGTTAAGATGAGAAAAGCCACAGAACGTACAGCAAGAGTTTTAGATGGCCAAGCAGCTCTCGGGAAGGTTGATGCCAAATTAAAACTGATTTGCAGCACCATGGTGGTGATGGATGCTTGTAGCACAGCTGCTGTTGGGGCAAGACTTACACAAACTCCACAAACCTCTCACACAGGGGAGGTGAAAGGTGGGGGGACGGGGACGGTGGCTGGGGGTACAGGGAGCCATTAGCTGGCAATCTTCCTCATCAGTGATTCCAGGTTTTTCCAGGGTGTTTCTTTCTTGGTCTCTTCAGGTGCTGGGACCTCAGTGCGGGGAACATGAAGTGGATTTATCAGGTCCCCATCTTGGCTGCCATCGTGGTAAGAATCTCGTGGCTGAATCTCCCAATGCCTTTTGGGGAAAGGTGATTGACAGAGACCCAGGGCCATTCGCTTGTGGTCACTGGGGTTGGTCACCCTGGCACCCGGGGAGGGCCCACATGACGCAGAGGGATCCAGGGCCACTGGTCCCTCCCCACTCTGACTACAGCATCACCCCCACATCCCTGCCCGCAGCTCACCCAGCACTGCCTGTCCTCATCTGAGGGGCTGCTTGGGCAGGCCCAGGTCACTGCAGGCAACAAAACCACAGTGGGTGTCTGTCGGCAGGTGAACTTCTTCCTCTTCCTCAACATTGTCCGGGTGCTGGCCTCCAAGCTCTGGGAGACAAACACGGGAAAGCTGGACCCCCGGCAGCAGTACAGGCAAGTGCCGGCAGCAGCAAAACCACGTCCCAGCCCTGGTCTGGCTCATTTTCTGCCTGTTTTGCTGAGATGGCTTCTCCTTGAACGAAGAGCATAGGAATGGCTGGAGGAGCAAGGGAGGGTGGCGGGATGCTGGCAGCCAGCTCTCCTGGCAGCTCCTTTGGATTGAAACAGCCGGCTCAGGAGCTCAGGCTCTGCCTGCTCCCTTCTCCACGCTGGACAGCGTGCAAGGGCTATGCACAAATCAGCTGCGGCAGCAGCAGAAGCTGAAGTGGCTGCCCTCCTCGCTGGGACCCTCACCAACGGCTGCAAGGGGGCTGCAGGCTGGTGGCAGCTCCTGGCTGACGGCTCAGAGTTTTTCTCCTCTCAGGAAGCTGCTCAAGTCCACGCTGGTGCTGATGCCACTTTTCGGAGTCCATTACGTGGTGTTCATGGCCATGCCCTACACCGAGGTCTCTGGGGTCCTGTGGCAGATCCAGATGCATTATGAGATGCTCTTCAACTCCTCTCAGGTACATCGGCACAGGGCTGCCGGCCCTGCTCCCAACACCTAGCGACGCTTGTCTGGGGAGGGGGGAGGTACATGTAGTACAGCGTCCCGGCTGAGGACTCAAACTCCTCCTCTGTTTCTTTTGGCAGGGTTTCTTTGTGGCTTTTATCTACTGCTTTTGCAATGGGGAGGTAAGTCAGAAACCTGAGCAGCTGAGCTCCCTGTTACAGCCCCTTTAGGGTCAGTGAAGATAACCTGCAGCCCCCAGGCTGGGATAACCAGAGGGAAATCTCAGATCCATCCCTCTCAGTAGGATTTGGAAAAGGAAAAACACCAGCGCGCCGGGGAGCTGCTGCGGCGGTGGCCTGGCCTCCCATGCCACCACCAGCTTCAGCACGAGCCTCGCGGGGCGAGGGGCAGGCAGCACGCAGCCCCCAGGGCTGCTGCTCCCTGCCCGTGCCAGCCTGCCGGGCTACGTCCCCAGCTCCTTCGCCTCAGGTAACTTTTTGCCCTGTCCAACCCAGGAGATGAGCCAGAAAGCCTGTGGGGAAAACATCGTGGACTTAACAGACCTGAACCAGCGTCAGCCCAACCTGAACAAAGAGCTGGAGACGATGCTATGAAGTGAACAGTCTCCCTCCCAGCTGGACATCCAGCCATGCCTGCAAAGATGCTGATCCACGTGTTTTGGGCTGCTTTTGTGCTTGCACGGAGAGCTGGGGTAGGGGACAGCAGCTGGAACAACACAGCTCCCGTTCCCTCACCGTCAGCGTGCAAAGGGACCACGTGCTCTCGCTCCTTCCGCCTGCCTGGCCTAAAACCGAGCAGCCAGTGCCAAACCTCATTTCCTTCCATGCACAAGTGACAGATGTGAGGGATGTCTGTGCATGCGAAGCCTCGAACCATTACCAAGAAGCAATCCTCCAGGCTCAGCCTCACCTCGACAGTCTGGAAGGTGATTTCAGCTCCAGTGTGTATAGAGCTGATTTGACGAGCCCACAGTCCCGAAGTCTGACTCCCCCATTTAGCACCAGTTCCTGCGCTGTACGGCTGGGGCTGGCAGAGTGCAGAGTGCTTGCAGAGCTGTTCTGCGCCTCCCCCTGCCATTACTTCCATCCTCACGCAGCTCACAGATACTGTGAAACCCAGCACACAATGCTCAGCCGCTAACAGGGAGCATGAGTCACTGGGATACTGGGAGGGAGGCCAAGCTTCACGGCCTGGGAAGGGCGCAGCGAAACGCCTGGGTCCCCCAGCTTTACACAGACCACTGCATGCAAAAGCCTTGGCCCTGTTATCTTTTTGCAGGCTAAAAAGTGAATAAAGAGACAGTATGCATGGCTTGCTTCTGTCCTCAAACTCCATTACGGACTCAGCGGTGTCACACACAGCAGCCGGGGCACAAAGGGCTGGAAACCCAGCCACGCTCACAGCCAGCCCGGTCTGCTCTCACTGCTCGCTGCGCGGAAGAGGCAGCCCCGACCTCCCCCTGCCTGTTCTGCTACACACGCGCTGCTGGGGGAGGCTTGTCACCCTGACGGGAAAAGACATTTCCCGAGGGGCTTGCAGTGCCCAGCCCTGTTCAGTCAGACCACAAGGGAGGGGAGAATGATAACATCGTTGGGAGAGGGGATACATAGGCTGCTTAAAATTGAACAGCTTGTTGGTGGTAGCACAGAGAATTTTTTTCCTACCTGCTCTAATGAGATACATTCCCTCCAGGCAGTAATTTCATGGTAAGGACAGTGCCAGAGAACGTGTAACCAGTTCTGTGCATTCCCAGCTCTTCCAGCGAGAAGACAAAATACAAGGCGAGTCACCAGGATTAGAAAGCACTGGAGGGAGAGCCAGCCAGAAGGCCAGCAAGGGCTCTGGGATTCACGTTCTTTAAACGGGCCGGAAGATGGTGCAGAATCAGTCACATCCACACCACCTCCCACCCAAGAGAGCAAGTGCCCTATGACGTGGAAGAGGGCTCTTGGCCCAGCTGGGTGTTTGCCCTGCTCTGGGAGATGACAGGCAGAGGGGTGACTGAGGCACAGAGGCAGGAGCAGCACCCCCGCACTACACGTTAGAAACCAACCCAAGCTCCCTGCAATCGATTTGCTCAGCTGTGAGTCGCACTCTGGTCTCTTTAGCAGAAAGCAGGACAGCCTGGCACTGAAAGTGGAGAGGTTCCCTGTCAGGGCAGTCGGCACGCTGCTCACACTGCTGCCTTGTTCCAAGGAGAAGGACCCAGCCCTCTTCTGTATCTAACACGGACCTGTGAGCTGACGTTTATAGCTCTCTGTCAGTGATCAATATTTACTCACTCAAGTCTCGAGAGGCTCCTGGTAGCTGAGAGAGGGGTGAGGAATTTCAATAATCCTAGTAAACAGCACAGGGATGCGTTAAAAAGAAGGGGAGAAACCCAAGCATATGCCACACACAGGGCCAGTTCCCAGTGGCAGAGAGCTGAGATCCAGGAAGGGAGGGAGCAGCCGGCAACTGCGGACTATGGAGAGATTTTTTTTCTCTTTGTTTTGAAACTTAACTCTTTAAGGTTTGTCACTCTGCACAATTAAGCGTGATAAGGAAAGGGGAACCCAACAGTTGCTCCTAAACCCCTGCCACATCTGCCCCAGAATATTTTTGTCTTAACACTAAATATGCAGAGCTCAGACCAGCACAGTGAGGTCTGCCTAGACCATGATCAGATAATTCAAGTGGAAGCTATTCTTAAAAAAACCCCAACAGATTAGAGCTAGTTAGTGAGGAGTCCAGAATAATTAAGTAGGTGCCTTAACTGAAACCAGTACACATGCAAGTCAGCTCACAAGACTGTTGCCAAGTTCTCTTTCCAGCTCTACCAATGACTCCACGAAAGGCTGGGATGAGCAACATGCCCTGGGCTTTACCCTTCCCACCTGTAAAATGGAGAAAAATATATTCCCCAGGAGGCTTTAAAGCTAAAACAGGGTTTGCAAAATGCTTCAGGGTGAAAGATACCAAGGAAAAACACAGGCAGTCTTTTATCAACCACAGTCCACAACTTCTGGTGAAAGAAAGGGACACAGTCAAATCTTCAGAGAAATCTCCACCCAAATGCCAGACCAGCCAAAGGAAGAAGTGGAGAATAAAAGGCACATGCCAGATATTTTTGTCCCAGTAATAAAACATTTACTAGAGCAAGCAGAAAGTAAATGCACAGCTGATAAAGAAAACATCACAATGTCACAAAAACCTGACAGTTTCTGGTACTTCTTTCAGTAGAAACAAGACAGAGGTGGGTGCTGACATGTTTCAACAAAAGAGTTCTTCCTTACCTTTATGGTGCAAACAAACAAAAAAAAAAAGTTAAAAAAACGGATAATACACACAACGAGTTAAAAACAGTCAAGCAAGATTTTACAGTTTTAACTACACGTGTCCAAGATGGGGTGATATTTGAGCTGTTCCACTTCAATCACTTTTCAGGTTCTCCCTAAAGGCTTCTGAGCAGCAGGTCCCTGAATTTCTGAATGAAGCCTCTTCCTTCAGCTACGCTTCATGGGGGGACCAGCCTTTGATTGCTGTGGCCTGTCTACATTTTTTTCCCTTTTCTGTTCTTAATCTGCAGAAAGCACTCAGCCCTCTCACAACAGAGGGCGCATAGGCATAGCAGAGAAAGTTTGCTATGCAGGCTTCCACCAAAATGAAGGTTGTTAGGAAAGAAGAGGTATTTTTTAAAAGAAAAAAACACCTGGGCAATGGGATTGGGATTGATGTACTGACCACACACAAGCCAGGGAGTCCATCCTACACTACATGTGAATTTGTGGGTAGCTGGGCTGGAGAACAATCGCTTGAACAGCTTCATAAAGAAAAAAAAAAAAAGGAGGAAAGAAAAATCAACTTGCTTCATCCCACCTTCAGCAATGCAAATTGATACATTCTTTGTTGTTGGGGAGTGATGTAAGGGGCAACCTGGAGGCCAAATTATTTGGGGATAAGAGAATATGTGAAAAAAAGAGACTGGGGAAGAACTCACCATACCGAACAAATTGCTGAAAGATTAATGTTTAACAGGCAGGTGCTGAGCCTCTCTAGATGGACTGTTTTTTCAAATGTGAATGCTGGTTAAGAAAAGATTTATTTTATACTGCTATGGACAACAGTTTCTTAATGTTCCAAGGACGTGAAACAGCTTCTTTCTTGTCAAGAAGATCTGTTTAAATCCAGCTGAGAGTCACTTGAGCACTGAATGTTTAAAAGCAGAACCCAGGGAGCTTTATCAAAATGATTTCTCTTTGACTAAGCATTGTGTGTACACATCATTAGAGTGAATCTGTCTGCAGAGGTACCGGCCCAGACTTGCACGGGGAGTTTGCATGGTTTCCTTCTCCTCCCCCAGCTGCTCAACAACCAGTTATCAAAAACCCCAAGAAACCCTCTGGAAAAAGACAACACTACCTGCAGAGATTCCAGGCTGTGAAATGCCAGCTTTTAACTGTCCCACCGGCTCTTCTTACGTTTTGGGGGCTCTGGGACAGCAAAACCATCTGTCTTGTTGTCTCGGCTGTTGGCATCCTTCCTGTTCTCACCATTC